TTTTTTTTTTTTTTTGCTGTTACTACTGCTGCTGTCGATATAGTTTTCTCCTGATTAATTTATAAATGAAAAAAAAATTCTTGGCTGACAAAAAAGTTACGGTGGAAATCATTTTTTTTTTTTCATAAATTCTCTTTAGTGTTCAGTATATTATGATATTTATTTTCATGCACTAATGTATGCTTTTTATACCGTAAGTATACTTAGCAAAGCAGCAACTTCATTGTCTATGATTATTTTTTTTTTGCCACTGTTTATGGCTAAAAGAAGGGAATATGGATGTTTAAAACTGTTAATTTGGTTGAAAAATTTTGTGGATAATCAGTTACGGCAGTCGTTGTTGTTCTTCAGCTTCTGGCGCCGCAACCGACAACACCGGTGAGGACTGAACCGTCTGGTTCAGTGTCATCTACCTCCCATAACGATCTCAATGATGCTACAGTTCGCTTCCTGACCCCAAGTGGGCCGCTTATTCCAGGAATGATGCCCGTATTTGCGCCAGATGCTGCATTTCGTGCAGCCATGGCACAAGGATCACTGCCATTCCCTGGGTTTTACCCAGGTTTACCTCCAGCGGTAATTGTTAGTGTAAAAATCATTTTTTGTTTTAACTTTTTTTTTTTTTTTGTTTCAAAGATTTTGGCATTTTTTGTAGTCTTATTTAATGTTGACAACTCCATTGCTGTCAAACAGCAGTGAGCAATTAAATGGTTTGCTGGTTTTCAGGAGGTGAAGCCGGAAATGATGTTTATGGATCCATCGTTTGCATATCATCCGTACGATGGTGCACGACGCAAAAATGCAACCCGTGAAACTACAGCACCGCTGAAATCATGGCTTAATGAGCATAGAAAGAATCCGTATCCTACAAAAGCAGAAAAAATAATGCTTGCATTGTTGACAAAAATGACCCTAACTCAGGTACGTTGTTTTGCGAAAAAAAAAAAAAAGCATGTGTTAGAATTTTTATGTTTTGCAACTTATTTCTTAATTGTTTTCTTGTTGTTGTTATTATTAGTATTTGTATTATTGTATGTCATATCACATTTTCCATCTTTAGTTTTCGTTTTTTTTGTTCATCGAAAATAAAAAAAGCAAAAAAGAAAAAAAAAAAGAAATGCAAAAAAGACTTGCATTTTGTCGGCTTCCTTTTTTTGTTACAAACATCATAAAATCCCTTCTCTTTTTCATTCCCAATTAACATTCCTTAACAAATTTTAAAAGTTTTATTCTCACATATTCTGTTACCATTCAG